TAAATTCATTCAATTGATAAATAAAAATAATATGATTTAGTTAACAACTAATTTTTAAATAATTACCAAATGACCTATAACTAATAAAATTTGAATCATATGTGATACCAACCTGTCAAAATATTTGGATATGTAATTTTTCAGAAATAGAAGGATTTTTAGATTGAATAATTAGTCTTTTGCAAATCGCTAACTATAAGTTAATAGCCAATTGATTATCTTCATTAATATAGTCAGGAAACGGTTTTGTATAAAAAGACCAGAAATTACAGTGACTTCCATAATTATTGTACCACTTTATTTTTAATTTTTAGATCATGATACCTGAATAATTAAATTGACTATAAGGCTAAAATTTTAAACTAATTTAAAGCCTGTAATCAGATTTTTAATATATTTAAATTTGAGTAAAACTTAATTTGTGGTTTTTTAAAAAATTTCTTTATGTGCAATTTTTTGTGATACAATACTTTTGGAATCAAAATTAATATAATAAAGTTATGATTATGTGATGCGTCTTATACATATAAGTAAATTAAATCAGTAGATCAATTTGTACACCTTTCTTTTGGATTTTTTTTTAAATTGATTATAAAGGTAATTCTATTTCACCAAAGGAAACGTATTTTTGTTCTTATTCAAGAAGGTTTACCAAGTTGTATAATTGCTTTTCATGAAAATATAAATCATGCTTCTTTAATAAGAATTAAACAAAGAAAAGAAGAAACAGGCAGCTTTAATATTATTCCAAAACTAGGCCACCCAAGAATACTTACAGAATGTCATAATAGGAATATTGCCAGGCTTATTAAGTCAGGTAAATGTATAAATGCTATTCAAATTCAAAAATTTTTAATTTTCAACAAAAATATTATTATTTTACCAAATACTATTTGACGCTTATTAAAAGGCAAGGTCTTGTAACTAGAGTTAAAAAAACTATTACTGCTAAAGAAACATAGAAAAACACGAAAAAAATTTGCTCAAAAATATAAGAATTGGACTATATAAGATTGTTGAAAAGTAGTATGGTCAAATGAGAGTAAATTCTTAATTTTTAGCTCAAATGGAAGAGAGTGGTATTAAAAAGATCCAAATTTACCTTTGCAACCATAACATATTAAACTAATTGTAAAGTTTGGTGAAGATTCTGTAATGATATAGGTTGTATAGGTTCATTTGGCATTGGAAAGTATTGTAAAATTGATGGAAGAATGGATGGAGAGTTATATAGAGAAATTTTAGGAAATGAGTTTTTAAAGACCCTTAATGCGTGTTATTTAAATATAAATGATGTCATTTTTAACAGGATAATGATCCAAAACATACAGCAAAGAAACATACAAATGATTTAATAACAATAATATTAAAATTTTAGATTAGCCAGCACAATCACTAGACTTAAATCCCATTGATCATTTGTGGAATAAAATTGATCATCATTTGCAACAGCTTCCTGATAATATTACTAGTGCAGAAGATTTGTGAAATAAGATACAATTAGTATAGAATCAAATTGATGCTGATTTTTGATTAAAGTTAATTGATACTATGCTACAACTAGTTAAAAATATATTTAAGGCTAATGGAGTATATACAAAATGGTGATAATTTTGTTAAAAAAATTTAAAGCATAGTTTGTTAAAAAAAAATTTGAAAAATTTATGTTTTTTGATTTTATTTTTATATGCGTCAGAAGTATTGTACCATAAAATTTATGGTTAAGAATTTTTTTTTAAAATTATAAATAAAAAGAAATTTGAATTTGAATATATTATAAAAAAAGACTCAGACAATACATTAATTAAATCTGCAAATTGTTCGATCATCAAATTTTTATTTATTATAATCTAAAAATTACAAACGAAGTTATTCAATAATTATGGAAGTCACTGTATTTGAAATTTATCTTATTTGAAAAATGAAATTTGTAGTTCATTCCTCATCTCATTATTCTTCTACCCTTCCATTGTCAAACTCTCAACGCATTTTCTAGTAAATTTATTCGTCTACAGTTTTTGTTCTGATTTCTCATTCTAGCCATCACCCAAGGTAATGTAATAATTGTTTCATTTTTTGTGTAACTTTAAAAAAACCATTAAATATTTCTAAATATAGTTTCGTAGATATTTAAATCAGACATGACTTCTTAATAAGATGATTATATGATAAGTAAGCTAATAAGGAAACCACATTCAATATTTGGAATATGTTTAAATTGTGAAAAGGAAAGAAGCAATGTTAAATGGTATAAAGATTTGAAATTAATGCTTTAAAAGAAAATTTTAGAAAATGGACAAGTGGTAACCTTGACATTGATAATTTTATTCAATACACACAATTTAATGCAACTGGAATTGTAGATTATTTAGAATATATAGATATTGAATAACTATATTTTGTGAAAAAAGCAAATCAAAGTGATGTCACCAAAACAATTTATTCAGCAATTTGGATAGAAGGACCCTGATGGTTATGATGGTTATGGGATAAAAACACTAAAAATTGGTCACGAAATAGACTCACAAAAGTTGCTCTAAAAAGAATTAATAATTTAACATATACGCGTGAAGATTACTTAAGCAAGTATGTTATGACAACTTTATTCAAAATTATTTATTTAAATTATTTTTCTTTTAGAGATAATAATGAATATTTAATTAAATTTTAAATAAAGCTTTATAAATATCACCAATGTGAAAACGGTTAAAACTTTTATGGGATGACTAAAGATTATAATTCAAATTATATGTACGTTATGAAATATTATGAATATTATAAAATTCAGGATTTATATTTATATATTGATGAAACTTAAGAAAAACTTGATTGGAAAGGTACCATTGTAATGCTTTGGCAGATATTTGGGAAGAATGGTCGTCTTTCATAAAAAGGGATTAATTCATGGAAATCTTCACAGAGGTAAATATTGATTGAAGTTGAAAATGGTTCAGCTGAAAACATTTATATCACAAATATTGAACCATATTTTTCATTCAATATGAGAAATTCAAATGAGATATATGAAGTTCTTCCTTTTATCACTCCTGAAATCTTACACAGAAATCCACTAACAAAGGTCTCAGATATTTTTAGTTTTAGTTTTAGTATTATTATGTAGACACTTTCTACAGGTGTTTGTCCATGACGTAATAGACCATATGATCTTGAATTAGCTACTGAAATTTCTTCTGGTCCTCGTCCTAAAATTATTGATGGAACTCCAGATTTTTACGCTTAATTAATGACGAAATGTTAACACACTGATCCTTCAAGTCGTCTAATGGCATTTGAATTGTATGAATTATTAAGTTCTTGGATAGATGTTATTGATAACTATATGTTATTTAAATTAACCAAAAAATCTGTTACTGTGAAAGAAAAAAAAATTTCAGGTTTTGAAAATAAAATTTCATCAGGAAAGAAATCATTCTGAAGTTGTTTAAACAAGCAGGTTCTTATATTTTCCTGAATTAATTTCACAAAATCCATTATTGTCAACAAAATATTAAGTCGACAATGACTATCTCAGCAATGAAATATAAATTGGCATTGATATTTTAAATTTTAAATTTAAACTCTAATACTTAGCTATGCAATAAGTTTAATTATATTTTGTTTATTAAGGATATATGAAAACTGTCATGACAATCAAAATCTACTATAAGCATATATTAAGTTTAATTAACAATTATATATAAGTTGCTAGTAAAATCCTATTATTAAGTTTTATTATTACTTTTAAGCGTTTGGCAGTATATTATTTTTTTTCTTTAATGTGATATTTAGAAATATTTAGAATGCTTGATTCAAATAAATGATTTTTAATTTGTTATTTTACAATACTGAATAAAATTTTTTGAGTTGTAGGGTGATATATTAATTGAACTTTACATTTTAGAATTAATTATAAATAAATTCATCATACAAATTAATCAATCAACTTTTTATGTATAGAAGAATAAAGAAAACCAAAAAATAAAATTTATTAAAAATTACTAATTAGAATGCATTTTAAGCAAGGAATTAAATACAGAAAATATTTAGGAGTACGATTTAAATATTCAATAAAGTTTTTCTCATCAACTTATTATTAAAATATCTTTATGCAACTAAATGATTGATGTGATCCAGTGCAAATACAATAAATTGGTTGAGAAACTACTTCTTTTAAAATAACTTCTCATTTCTTGCAAAGTGTGAACCCGTAATGGTTCATTACAGATGTTATATTTGGATCAATATAAAAATAAATGACAATTTAACATGAAGAAAAATATTTTTAAATATCACTTTTAATCAATTCAAAAATTATTTTTTAATGCTATTTTATATTTTGTTATCTTCTATTTAGTCTATTATAAAATCTTAATAATGCTACGATTATAATTGTATTAAATAGAATCAGTTCAAAATTTTCATTGGGATGCTAGTGACCAGCACGTGAAAATTTTACGATCCTATTGTTTGTAAATTCTATTTACAAAAAATAAAAAAATATTTTGACCTAAAAATCATTGATTTTTCTGAATCAGAAGTTCCCCCATAAATGTAAATCAGAAAAATATAATGCGGTCATATTGACCTTAATAGTTTTAAAGGTAATACGACAGATCCTATATGTCAATTATTTCTATTTCTATTAATAGAGGCGTTTTAGATCGTTCAAATTTGAAACAAATTGATCTGAGAATAACAATGATCTTTGATGTTGTCTTGAAGCATGTGAAATTTCTCTATTAACATTTGTTACTGATACTAACCCTGCAATGATTGTAGCCATTTCTATAGTATTTTCAGAGACTCATCATATGCAATATTTATACTATCTCTATCAAAATCTTCCAAAAAACCTTCATTCATGTTTAGGATCATCACTTTATCAGGAATTCCTTAAAGATTTTAAAGGAATTCAACATTCTTATTGTGAAAATGTATTTGAAAAATGAACTAAAGGGATAGTTAAAAAATATGAGGTGGGAAGCAAATATATAACTACAATGCTATTGAATCGAAAGCATACTTGGGTAAAATGCTTTACATCACAACATTTCACAGCAGGAATGCAATCTACACAGTGTATGGAATCAGAAAATGCATTATTAAAAAAGGCCGTACAGTCAAGTTTCTCTCTCTTACAAGTTCAAGAATCTTTTGAAAATTGGTTAGAATTTGAATCAATTAACAATCGTTATTCAATCTGGAAAACTTTAACATTACAGTACACACAACCTTTCATTATACAAACATTCTTTAGTAGTATTGATAATATTATAAATAAATATTTCACACAGCTAATTCACGATGCATATTATAAACAAATGTGTCAATCTATATACTATCATGCACATCAAGTACAATTTTCTGAAATTTCAGTATTAGATGATGGTTCATTTGAACCTTTTTTGATAAAGTAGAAGATTCTGCCAAATCTATTATTAAAGCTGATGAGAATTAGGAGCTTGATTTGAAGTCTTTGATTTCAATGTTAGTTTTAACGATATTTTAGAAGTTTGGAAGATTTCTCAATACAATTACCTGAAATGCTATCAATATGTAATTCTATTTAATACCAGAGAATACTTATGCACTTGTTTTATGCTTGTCACTCATAGTATTATATGCAGGCTTTTCTTTAAAGTGTTTGTTGAATCTTCTAATGCATGTTTTTATTTGACATTAATTCCTAAGCGTTGGTATAAGGATGAATATATCAATTCAAACAATACCTGTTCTAGTGAGACAATTACAAGTAATAGCCAAAATGATCAAAATGGTGTACAAATCACTTTAGAATTTGTCTGAAAATACACCATAAATGATCTTTTGGAAAGGTATTCCAAGCAAATATCACAAAATCAATTAAAATTTGGTACTCTAATAGGCAAGCCAAAAAGGCAATTCAATTTGCAATTCAAGATGATGATGAAGAACTGATTCAGTTTATCAAGGATTTTAATAAAAGAAAAGAAGCTCAACTAATTCAAGCAGAATCGATTAAGCAACAAAAAGCTTTAGCGAATAGAAAAATAAATGACAATTGGATCCTTTGTAATACAAAAGGAGTATTGATCGATTTTAATCAAATCTTGGATCCATTGAAGCGTCAGCCTAAAGAAAGACCACTAACAAAATGGTTGAAGCCATCTGTTGAAAAATCAGATTCAAAAGGCAAAGGTGAAGGTGAACAAGCAATATCTGATAGATGTCGTAAATATGACTCATGTGAAAAATATGATCATTATCATAGCACTTGTTTTAAGGGTTAGGTTAGGATACTTAATCATGTGTTTATAGTGCGAGATCAAAGTATTGTTTTATTAGTTTCACTTAGTAATAACATGAGATCGTATTAATCTTATAGTAATAGCATGTTTGCGATATTTTTCCTTTAATTGTCACATTTATTTGGTACAGAATTTAAACAATAAATATTGATAAATGCTATTTTTTTTATAATAATTGTTGTTAATAAAAAATGCATACAAAAAAAATTATAAGGGGTGAAAAATAATTTATCTCACCCGGGGTGAGGAATAAATTTACTCTAAAATATATTATACAAACTGATTTTTCAAATTGCAGCAATTAACAAATTAGGAAATTTTGTATAACCTTATTATTATCCTTGTACTTTATTTTGTTTATCTTAAGTAACACAACTAGATAAAATAATCTGTGAATGAAAGTTCTTCAAAGAACCACTGTGAAAGTTCTTCCCGTATGTAACAATAGTGAACGTGTTCGAAAATGTTTTACTATTAAATAATTATAGTATTTTTTCCATTAATAGATGAACTTCAAAAGTATATGTACCTGATAAATGATTGATTGAAGCAACGCAATGGTATATATATTCAAATATAAACTATAATTTTTTTGATTTTTGAATATAATGAATTTTGAGACTTACGAATGATGTAATTTTATATAATAATATACCGTGATCATAGTATATTTTTTTTTGAAGCGTTAAAGGTAGAATATATTATTTTTATCAAAATATTTAATAAGATCAATTAATAAAGTTCGTTCTACATGCTGCTTTTTTTTATGCTAATCAGTTGGAGTATGTGAAAGTATCTTTTTATGTAAAATTACAGTTTATGGTATGTAACTTTTTTTTTTAAAAAATAAAAAAAAAAAAAAAAAAAATAGAAAATTAATGGTGGAATTATAAGTACACTAACTAGTACACTACTGTAAAGTATAACTACTTGTTTGCGATCAGCATTATTTTATTCAAAGTGCAATTATTTATGCAATCTATGGAAATTTTACTTATTATACTTGGTGAAATGAAGAAGAGGTTAGTTCATCTACTATGCTATTTTCATAAAATATTATTGATGCAAACAATGTTTGAAAACTAATAAGAATCTATTTATACAATATATTTCATTATTTGAATCGTTTTCCTTTTCTTCTCTTTTGGGTTGACTTGAATTTAATCAATAAATTTTATATTGCATTACCTAGACTAGAGGAGTTTTACGTCAAATGATATCATAATCATGTTCATATGAAAATATATTATGACAAATTTTAATAAAATAAAATTTTACACGACAACAACTTATCAATTTTTGGATTAGTTTAAAAGAAATTGATCTAAAATGAGTTTTTGGTGGCACTAATTATATCATCGTCCTTCTTAAACTAATTGTTCATAAAACAAAGAATTCTCGAAAGAATTCAAAAATACTAAAATTCTAAATTTGAAAATCAACAAGGATATTCAATGCAACTCTCCCGAAGAATTCTAACTTTAACCATTATCGGAAAATATAAATCCAAACTGAGTAATATTAGTAATATTAGATTTTCTATATTCCAAATTCAATTAATAAGAAGGAACTTATGACTACATATAAGCAAATTCCTTTGACACAACTCCACAAATAAAATCTATTCCTGTGACAAATACGATTATTAAAGATATAAATTTCCTTGCAGAAATGATTACTTTACAACAGGTTTATTTTACTGACAATATTGTAAAGTTGTTTCTCAATGTATATTAGTTATCTAACTGATAATAATTCATATTTGGATGTACTTATAATTACAAGAAATGTATAATGTAATGAAGCTAGGAATACAAAATTTTGCACCAAAGACATTCATTAATGATGTGAAAATTGCCCTAATATTTTATACTTCAAACAAATATATGCAAGACTTGATTCAGCGCTCATTAAAGCTTATAAAAAAGTTATATTTCAAATAATAATAACGATTATAAATTATGTAGAGAGTTAGTGATTTTATGTCAATATAATCAACTGTCTTACGTCAAACTTACATTAGTTTGTTAGACTTTAAATGAATTATGCATCTTTCATTTTAGACATTTAGACAACAATTTCTCTCACTTTCCTCTCCATTTACAATATAATTCAATAAATTTATAAGAAAAACTAGCAAATAATTTAGATATTGGGACAAACAATGGCAATTACGACAATTGCAAAAACTCTAGCATTTATAGATGTTGTAACATCAACTTGTAGAGATGATGAAAAAACTGATGATAAATCTTCGCAGAGCACAAATCGAAAGGAGCTTTATATGAGATAGCCAAAATTTTATTTTTAATTTTGAAATAAACGCAAGAAATAAAAAATAATATTTTTTTTTATTTCATGCTAACATTGACATAATGGCCAATTTGATCAATACCATTGTTGAATCTGTAGAGAAGTGGCCCAAAAAAAGAATAGCGAAGCAGTCCTAGTTTAGCGAAAGAAATACCTACTGATAGGAAGGTATTATGTGCGAGAACTCACAAGACAAGCTATAAAGGTAAAGATGCCAAGGTGGAGTCAGCAATAACTGTTTTACAAAAATAAATAACCATTTCACAACTTTTATTTTATTTTATTTTTTTTCCAGCAGTAGCATAACAAGAAAATTGGCCACCTTCATATGAAGAAGTAACTGCACCGAGATGGCTTCGAAAAAAGAATAAGTGTAGATCCATATCTAATTAGTAGGGAGGTGCTGTATTTAAAATCACAAGATAAGCTATGAATACAAAGTTTATGAAACTAAAAGACATTACTACAAGACACACAAGCATCCTGGTAGCAGCAACAGAAAGTGTCACAAAATTCATGCGTTTCATTTTTAGGGACTTGGATTTTCAGTATTGAATAATCTACTTATCGTCATGTGCGCAATAATTAATTCTAGCCAAATGCTGACCATTTTTTGATGCGTATGCAGAGGGAAGTTTAGCTGAAGGAGGTTCACCACTCCATATAATGATAGCTGTGACAGAAGGTATTGGTTCAGGATCTGCTCTATTTGAGCTTTAATATTAAAGTTTTATATCAAACGCGAAGTTGATCTCGTAAAGTAATTATTGCATTCAGGATAATAAAGTATTAGACCCATTTTATGAGTGATAAAGGCGATAAGAGATTTTTTAACTAAATATTTTTAAGGATCTCGACGTAGGTAATTTTTTATAAAATTTATTTTTTTTTTGTGGATGAAGGTGAAAAAAATAAATCGGATAAATAAAATCAAATAAATTTTACATTATTAAAAATTAAATTTTACTTTTTTTATTTTAAAAAAAAAAAATTTAATGCTACGATGGTTGCCATTCTTTTATTTATTTTTTTTTATATATCATTAAAATTTTTTAGTTAAGAAATTGATAATTTATTTAAAAAATTGCGTTTCTATATTAAAATCACCTTACCTGTTACGGATAAGTGTCGCATTAAATGGAAGCATAATTGTGGTATAACACTACATTTTAAATTAATTTTCTCAATGATTTGTTTCTTTTTTATAACTTTTTGTAAACTTTCTGTTAAAATGTCTATCGAATGTTTGCAGAGAGTCGCTAATGATTATGAAAGGTTATTTGAAAATGACAAAATATATGATATCATTATTTATGCCAGTGAAAATGAAAACCTTAAAGAACTACATGCCTTTTAAATATTTTATGTTTCAGATCGTAATATTTTTACGATGAATTAACTTAAGAAAATGTTGAGAAGAAGAAAGGGAATTTTATTTAAAATACACAATATTCCTCCAAATCTTTTTAAAATTATCTTAAGGTAAATAATGTCAGTCAGTCGACAACTATGACAATAATATATACCAAGTTACTAATATCACTTTTAAATTTCAGATTTTTATATTGAGGAAGGATTGACATGACGAAATTAGAAGGAACTGAAATATTAGAACTCTTAAAAGCGGCAGGTGTACTTAATCTTAAATCATTAGTTTCCGAAAATTTTGATTATTTAATTAAATAAACATCATGAGTTTTTACAAAAGAATCTTATAGGAATTCTTGAAATAATTTATCAACTTAAAACTTTCACTAAATTACGAAATTTTTATTTTGAAAAAATTTGTGAAGCCCCCAAAGAGTTTTTAATTCTGATAAATTTCTCAGTATAAAAGCACCTTATTAGAATTCCTTTTAAAACAGGATGATTAAGTCTGGATGATATTGATATTTGGGATAGGTTAATTAAACGGGTTTTGCTCAGAACCTGTTTATTCCTAAAGAAGTTAAAGAATGGAACAATAAAGAAACTATAGTTATGGAAAGAACACTTCATAGATATATTTCTTTAGTTAGATTTCATTATATTTCTTCATAAAATTTCTTTGAAATTGCCACCAAATGATTTGTTTGTCGATCTCTTAACATATTTCTGAGTATCAGATAAGAAATTTAATATTAATATTCAACTACCTAGACAATCCAAATGTTGTTCAATCCTAGTTAAACCTAAACATTTTGCTATATTTTCCAGTTGGATCGATAAGAAAAATGATTTGTATTATAATGTCAAGAACTCACCTTATAATTATAATTTACTTTATCGTGCAAGTAGGAATGGTAATACACCTGCATCATTTCATCAAAAATGTGATGATAAAGAGGCTAATATATTCGTAATAAAAATTAGCAGAACGGAACAAATAGTAGGAGGATATAATCCATTTGGGTGAAAAGGAAAAAGTCAATGGAAAACTACTAAAGATACAGTCAAACTCTATATAATCACTGAATTGGTTTCATTAAATTTAGTGATTATATAAAGGTGTGACTATATAATAAAACCTTTATACAATCATCTCTATATCATAAATCATGTGAAGTGACTATATAGAGGTTAATAGTTTAATTAGATAGTATAACATATTAAAATAAA